GAGACGCGCGTACGCAAACAAGGGCGGAGCCAAGTCAAGGTGTCGGCTTTCAGACAGGTGAGTGTGAATGCAGGCTCGCCACGGCGGGCTGCTCGGCAGCACGCCTGGCAGCTGTTGACTTGCCTCGGGGGTCTACCGGTACACAAACAATATGCGACTCATCCGCGGATTTGAAGCACAAGACGTGCTCGACGCAGAATGTCGTCATCTTTTGGTGGGTACAAATATAACTCACTTTTTTTCGACGAGAGATTGTCGCAGTTCTGTTTTCGACTGTATCGACTTTCCTCAACCCAATTCCTCTTTGTGAGTCCATTATTTGCACACAAAGTGCAGCACGCCAGTGTAAGGTGAAAGCACAAATATGGTTGAAGTTGCCTTCATCGCGTTTGCAATTTTTTTTTTTTTTAAACTAAAAATATGGAAACTAAAAATGTTGGCCAAGTTTGAAATAAAGTAATGTTGTAATCTGTGTTTTATGCTTCAGGTTTCAAGTGGCATCAAATTAAAGTCAATCGTAACTTTGTACATTCAAGTACAATATCGGTAGTCTCCAGAGCACTTGGTCCTTCTTGTGCGGAGCGCATATTTGGCTTTTTAATGACGTTTAGATTGAATGTGTGCAGATGAGCGTTCATTCTACAAGATGCATCGCACGCATATCCGATTTATATCCCCATACAAAAGAGGGCCAGGCCAGATTTGAAAAAAAAAAATTGTACTGAAAGTATTCACATTGCAGATGGGCAAAAATCCATCCATCCATTTTCTGTTCTGCTTTATCTTCACAAGGGTCATGGTGGGTGCTGGAGCCTATCCCAGCCGTCTTCGGGCAGTAGGCAGGGGACACCCTGAACCGTTTGCCAGCCACTTGCAGGGCACACACAGACAAACAACCATCCACACTCACACTCACACCTAGGGACAATTTGGAGTGTTCAATCAGCCTGCCATGCATGTTTTTGGAACGTGGGAGGAAACCGGAGTACCCGCAGAAAACCCACGTAGGCACAGGGTCAACATGCAAACCCCAAACGGAGAGGCCGGAGCTGGAATTGAACCCAGCACCTCTGCACTGTGAGGTCGACGCGCTAACCACTGGACCAGCCGGGCCGCGTGGGCAAAAATAAATACATAAATAAATCGCAATTTCGCTGCAGTGTGACTATTGCCTAAGAGTTGATGCCGAAAATGTATATTTGAAATAGCGGTTTCATGTAACGGGTAAATTTGTGTGATTTCATGACATGTCACGGGATTGCTCATTTAAGTTTTTATTTAATGAATTTAATTTCATTGATGAAACTTATCGGTGTCAATGTGATGAAAATGAACCAAACTCATATCACATATCACAACCTTGAAACGTTTCTCTTTATTTATTGTTATTATTTTTTAATGTAATATCCCTGTCCTCCGAATATCATTAGTTGTCTATTGTGCTGATGCATAATGTCCCAACTGACGAAAAAGAATAGTCACAGGATGATAGCGGCAATTTTCTAGGGCTATCTGAGAGGATGAATGGGAGGTTTGGCGTTCCGGTCACGCGTGTTAACAGTGTAAGTGGACTCTGACAACGTAAGCGGAACACCAATCTCAGTTTACTCATAAGAAGTTTTTAAGGCAATGTTAAGAGGAAGAAGAATTGCGGTTATAAGGCGAGCCAGAAATTGTTTCCAAGGGAGCTGAAGTGCATTGGCCTTGTACTCGATATTTTTGAATTGCAAGAAGGAGAAACTGGAGAAAAGGCGTAATTGTGTCATTCATCATGTCGCCCTGTGTGATGGAAAGCTACTTAATAAATGCGCTGGCCGTCCCGGCGTTTGGTGGAGTTCACAAACGGCTTCAATCACAAATCCTTTACGAAATAGTCGTTCTGTTTGTTTTTTGACTTGTGCTCTTACTAAATCTGTCAAGCAATGACATTTTTAAAAAATTAATTAAGCGTGCAGTTTTCCGTAATTATTTGCGATGAATCAAATTTATCTACTTCTACTTCCGCTATGAAACTCGTAACAGGTATTTCCATCCGTCCATCCTTCAGTTGAAAAGAATCTTGGAATTAATGTAGAATCATCAAATTAAATTCATTTCATCGGTGACGACAATTCTTTTTCAATTAGCCAACAAAAAGCTCAAAAGTGACTCAGCATTATCGGCATCTTTCTTACAGTCGTCGTATGGAGACAATTCTCAAAACGTCTCGCTTCGAGGTTTTCGTTATCCGCCCCCGAGCGTCACACTCAGGCAGTGTTAATTGGCAGGCGAGGCCCCGCGGAGGTAACTGGAGCAGGGTCTTCTGCTCTCAGACAATACGCCCAAGACGCGCAACTAATACGGTATTTCAATGTGGCTTTGCAAAGTGTGCAAATTATTTCCGATGTGTCCAACGAGCCGTTCTGCAATTTAAAACGGCAACGGAAAACGACCTCGCGGCCCTTCTTTGTCCGTCTTCGCGCCGGCGACTCTCGATGACCGATTACAAAGTGAGCAGGGGTGAGCTGTCGCAGGAAGTCAATCAAACTGCTTTAACTATGCTAAATTGCTTTTAATACTTTCCATCATTGAAATTCATCTCCAGTTAACGTTTAGCTGTGACGGCCCGAGCTTTGACTCTTCATAAGCAATGCTGGGGTAGTGTAATATATTACATTTAGACAGTAACGAAGTAATACAACCATTTACTAATTAAAATTGTTAATAATGTTCCAGTTATTTATTCCTGTAACGCAATGGAATTTTGGGACCACAAGACAAAATCACCAAAAGTATAGTAGAAAGCGATCCATGAGATAATTTACAATAAAAGTTGTTAAAGAGCCCGTAACATGCAAAAATCATTATTATTATTTATTTATTTACATTTTTATTTATTGATTATTTTTAGCCAACGGGACACCCGACGAGTATCCTGGAAAGAGGCGCTGCGAGTGGCGACCTCGGCCTCGGCGACTTTTCGACTATTTACTGCACGGGTGTCAAAGTCAAGGCCCGGGGGCCAGATCTGGCCCGCCACCTCATTTTATGTGGCCCGCGAAAGCAAATCAAGCATGTCAAGTTCCATAATGCTCGCGAAAGTCTGAACCAACATTTCAAATCGTCTTTTGTAATCCACAATAACAGTCATTATTCTTGACGTCTGATTTTCAAACTAGTTATTCATCAATTTATTGTGCGCTGTGTTTGTAATATGTGGAGGGGATTAAATATTTATATGATTCCCCAAAATTCATAACAGCCCTCCAAGGGAAACCGTAACTACAATGTGGCCCGCGACAAAAATGAGTTGGGCACCCCTGATTTATTGTTTTTGTGGTACCTCAACTGACACGTCATTTGCTTTCGCGGGCCACATAAATTGACCTGGCGGACCGGACCTGGCCCCCAGGCCTTGAGTTTGACACATGTGACATAAAATGTCTACTCTCTGAGGCATTGTTTCTGATGCCCTCTTATTACAGTATTTTCAAAAATGCTCAGCACAGTTTTGCTGGAAAATGTGCCGCTCTGCTTGTTTTGTCTGTTGGCAACGCAGTTTGTGAATCGCCGCATGACCAGAGACAAGAAACTTGTCAGCAAGCTCCTCACTCCCCCTCCTTTCATAACTTGCACAATGTACTTTTTTTTCCCCCTCGCATGGGATCTACGGTGGATTTACTACATAAGTCTTGAGGATGTCCATTCCTCTCCCATGACCTCTGTCTCACCCTGCAGCTCTTCGCGATGTTACCTCAGGCAAAGCGCATAAATGGTCGTGTGGGTCAGCAATAAAACGTCAACTTGAAATCTTTAAACATGTGTACAAGCATATGCTGTCGCCCCCCCCAAAAAAAAATATTCGCCACATTTGCACTTCTTGTCCCAACCTTTCATGGGGTCAAGGATTCTCTTCCCAATCAGTGCAATGAATTCAAAGCACAGTAGCTTGATAAATGAGGGTTTTACCACAATTGCATTTCCTTTTTTTTTTCTTTTTCGTCCTTTTCACACATCACCTGAAACCCACTCAGAAGATGACATTGAAGAGGCACACAAGCAAAAAGGAGACACTGCAAAATGACCATGGTGAACATCATCAACAACAACAATAGAGTTGTTTTTCCTTGCCAGTCCATAGGGTCATAATTACATGGTAGAACGCCTAAGCAAGCCTTTGTGTAGGAGTATATCGGTGAAGCTATTACTGACACATGGAAATGACTGTGGAGATGCTTGGATATTGTTGATAGTGGCAATTTAAAGTTTGCACTCGGCGGCTCAGGGGGCATCCACGGGGAAAGGTGTTTTGGGAAAATCCACACAAGTACTGTGTGTGTCAACGGCAAGTCAAAGTCGAACAGATTTCAATGAGGGGTGTAGCTTCGAAATGTGACCAATTTGAACAATTGTAAATGATTGAATGGAACTAATGTTGTCCACAGCGTTTCCTCGAATGTGTTGTAGACCAAATCAGCCAATAAGCGGGCTCATTTTGAAACAGGAAACACTCCCTTGGGAACGCTTCAAAATGTGACCAATTTGAACATTGTAAATTATTTAATGGAACTAATGTTGTCCACAGCGTTTCCTCAAATGCGTTGTAGACCAAATGAGCCAATAAGGGGGCTCATTTTGAAACAGGAAACACTCCCTTGGGAAGCAAAACTCACCCAAGAAGTTCAAAGATTTGCAGCTAAAAGAGGAGTTGGCAGGATTTAAATTGCGAGCAAGATTTGATTGCAGCCTAATCTTAAACCCTTTCGCAATGTCAAGAATGCCGAGTCGCGTCTCGTGAATTCGTCAAGTACGGTCTTCCTAAGAACGTACTCGGCAAGTCCTTTTAATAATTGGAGTGGCTGTGCCCGAGTGATTTTTGCCCACATCACATCAAATGATTGACACTTTGTCCACCGCAGCTTTTGCATCTGATTAGCTGTTTTTCTTCCGGCGCGGTAGTTACTTAAAAAAAAATTGGCAGAGGATAGAGCCTAGGAAAAAAAAAATGTGCAGAGCAATACCTTTGTCCAGGGAGGCATCAGGAGAGTTGAAGTCCATCAGACTGCTGATTTCACTTGTGTAGCACAGGTCAGTGGAGGGAGTCTTCTGCCTCGTGTGCAGAGGTGTATCTGGAACAAAAACAAATAACGTACGTTATAAAAAAAAAAATAAAAATGACGTCAATCAATTTTTCGGCAACAGCTTCAAGACATGAAGCAGTAGGACATCAGAGACCGTGCATCACACTACATCAGTCACCTATGGAGGACAGCATTCCTCTTAACAGACCTTTCACTCCACATTGTACGCTACCCCCCCCCCCCCGAGAAGCTTGTTCAGCATTTACTGCAGGCCTTGAATGCAACATCATGAAAAACAGCCAAAACTCAGCACAGTCACGCAAATATTAGCATTTTTATGACTCCAGTTTGATTGGCTTCTGATGAGGTTCAGTGGCTTTAACATAGTTTCCTGTAACCACCAGTGAGAGTATAACAAATGCATTGCTCCAGGCCAGTTCCCTAAAGTGTCCATGAAATCGCAGCGAGCGCAGTCAGCGTTTGTTGTTCATCTCAATAAAAATGAGCAAGACCATTCCAAATGTAGGTTTTGTCCATGCGAACATCACATTTTAATAGAATCCATCCCGGACGGACACCCATTTTTGGGACAGAAGACAGCGGACGAGAATTATTTCATTTTTTGTTTTTATGTTTTGTTTTGTTTTGGTTTTACAAAGGACAAACTAAGCAAGGATCCAATTGGGTTTTCGCCCGTCCCTTTAATCGTCCATAATCGGGTTAAGTATGTGGTCCTGGTAGGCAAAATAACAAGGCCAGACTGTAGCCAAACACTATTTTCTTAACAGGCTATTAAACAGCACAACTTTTTTCATCTCAACAATATTTTTGGAGGAAAACTGCCATCTAGTGTACAGTCAGAGAACATAACAAAGTGCCTGCGGACACCCATTTCACTAACAATCAATGCAGCCGGTTAAGAAAGCTGGCTGCGTTCTATGTCTACCGGTGCCCACTCACCAAGATTTTTATCTCCCCCGCCCACCACCCACCCATTTGAGGCACGGATTTCTAAAAGTAAAGTTTCTATTATTATCATCGTATTTAATCATAGTAGCTATTTTGGTGTTGTGAAATACTCATGTTGCGCTGCTTATCACTCAGACATTAAAAATATGAAGAAACAGTGATGTGTTTTGTGTTAGTGATGGCCAGTCTTATCGATCCGAACAGCCGCGTTACTGAAAATAAACTTCGGTACACAGGCGTATATGCGAGGAATACGTCAAAGTGCCCATCTCTGCTGCTTATATAGTAACCACTGAAAGCTTTATTGGCGGAGGGATGCTTTCACTGGGATGCTGACTTGTTTGTTGCATGGCGGTGAGGACATGCAATATGATTAGTATTCATTTATTACATAGCCAAAAAAAAAACAAAAAAAAAGATTTACAAAACAACACAGCCCCCTTCCTTTTCTCTAGTACGCGCCCTCATCACCCCACCATTACTAGCCTACCCACTATCAAGCTTTTAGGAAGCCATTAGTGGTTGAACTCCATGTAATAATTACAAGCCCATGTGGCTGCGGGGGAAAGCAAAGGGTCAAGGGGCGGTGCGGCCTTTTTCGCAAGATTAGTCATCACACTTGCGATAATGGATTCCATTAGGCAACAAATAACAGCCTCGCTCTGTGTCCAGCTTCAAGTGATTGGTTTGAGCATATCAGCTGCTCATACGATATGAAGAAAGTAACAGCTCACAAAAACAGCCATTCATTTCGAAATACTCAACGGACATCTGGTACTGTATATATTGGTGCTGCAAATGCTGATATGTCATACGTATTGTTCAGCTTTGAAAGCTCTTTCAAAGATTCCCTATGGCGCTGTCAAGATCAATTTTAAGCTTTTCCGTAACGTGTTTGTGTGTGTGTGTGTGTGTGTGTGTATCTATACACACACACAGACAGAGAGTTTGATAAGAAATTTCACTAGCTAAAATAGATAAGCTAGCTAGCTAGATAAGCTAGCTAGATAAATTAGCTAGTTAGCTAGCGATAGATAGATAGATAGATAGATAGATAGATAGATAGATAGATAGATCGATAGACAGATAGATAGATAGATAGAATTAATCAATTAATTAATTACGGTAATTAGTTAATCAATTTTTTAATTGGGTAAAATATGTTTTAAGTTATATTGATTCATTTTACAGTTGGCTATATTAAGTGTTGATGAACTCTCTCCAATATCCCTTTTCCACTGAACAAGTTGCCACAGATCTTTGTTTTGTTTTGGAATGGCATTGACAGAATCAGCAAAGAAGTGAACAACTGCAGCAGCAGCAAAAGAAAGAATTTGAGTTTAATACAATAAAAAAGAGTTGACGTGCTGAACTAAGATTAGGTGTGTTCATTGTGGTCTTTTCGAGCAGAGTATTTTCAGATGATTTTTAGTTATGGTAAATCTAAACAAAGCGTAAGAATAATCAATTGATTGATTCAAACACTGCGTATATCTCCATTTGTCTTTCTCCACTGACTATGTGGCCCATGACAGCAAATCATGTGTGTCTACTTGCATGATCCTTGCTAAAATCTGAAACAAAAAGTCAAATTGTCATATGTCATGAATAACCTTGCGATTTTGCAATACTTTTGTTACCCTGTTTTCACTCCTTTGAACAATAATTGAACAGACTATTTTTCTGTAGTTGACTTGACTGATTTCAAAACTTGTAATCCACGTAATAATGTGTACAAGTAATAATGCGATGAGACGATGAAGCATTTTTGTGGTTTCAAGTCATAACGGCCCTGTGAAGGAAGACGTAAATCCAAAGTGGCTTGTAACAAAAATTAGTTTGGGGCACCCGGTGTACAGTGTATATATTTTGTGGGCGCATGAACACTGATCGGACCAATGGGAATGACGTTTCTGCCTCTATTAGTTTCACATTAGGATAAAAATAACACAATAAATTAGCAATGACGTAAATCTAAACAAAGCGTAAGAATAATCAATTGATTGATTCAAACACTGCGTATATCTCCATTTGTCTTTCTCCACTGACTATGTGGCCCATGACAGCAAATCATGTGTGTCTACTTGCATGATCCTTGCTAAAATCTGAAACAAAAAGTCAAATTGTCATATGTCATGAATAACCTTGCGATTTTGCAATACTTTTGTTACCCTGTTTTCACTCCTTTGAACAATAATTGAACAGACTATTTTTCTGTAGTTGACTTATTTCAAAACTTGTAATCCACGTAATAATGTGTACAAGTAATAATGCGATGAGACGATGAAGCATTTTTGTGGTTTCAAGTCATAACGGCCCTGTGAAGGAAGACGTAAATCCAAAGTGGCTTGTAACAAAAATTAGTTTGGGGCACCCGGTGTACAGTGTATATATTTTGTGGGCGCATGAACACTGATCGGACCAATGGGAATGACGTTTCTGCCTCTATTAGTTTCACATTAGGATAAAAATAACACAATAAATTAGCAATGACATTGAACAAAGAGCAGTAAGAGGACTCTGATGCTCGATTAAAATGTTGAACGATTCAATAAAAGCGGTACTTTATATTGAAGCCCTTGCACTAGTTCCCAGTGTGCCACACTCACAGAGTTCAAAATTAGAACACTAATTTAAAGGTAAATCGAGTATTTACAGCTGCGAAGAACCTGACTTGACATGATTCCGAGATAAAATGTCTCCCATTTGACGCTGCTAAAGGAAATGATTGAAATGAATTACTCCAGTGCTCATGAACCGCCTGTCCCCTTGAATGCTTTCGTCTGACTCCATCACCTCTCCTCCTTCCTCATTTTCTCGGTGACTTTTTTTTTTTAATGGTGTTCCCCAAAGCGCTTCTTACAACTGTGCCAGGCAAATTTTTATCTGCAGGAAAAAGCGGTGGGTGGAACAAAAGAAGGCCCTAATGACTAGTGGAGGTGATTAAGGACTGAATGGGCGCAATTGCGGGGACCTTCGCTGAGCTGCCCGCGTTCTTCAAGTCGGTCTGTTATTCGCAGATAGGCGGTGCTTTGCGAACGCCTGCCACGCGCCTTTAATTGCACCAACATCCCCTGGACCGCAGGCTGCCGGACTTGAGATAACGCAAACGAATTCATGCATTAATCACATCCACCTGTCCCAAGACCCCAATTTAAGGGTCCCTCTAAATATACAGCACATAATAATGGTCCAGGAAGTGTGATTGAGGCGGGTCTCTGCTAGTTAACATTTGCCACCTACGCCAACTGTCTCCGATCTGAATTCATATTGTAATGAAGGATGTAATACCGCGGCTACGCTTTGTGTGAAGGCTGAGGATGGAAAAAAAAAAATGACAATGAGAAATGACAATGAGAAATGACAATGAGAAATGACAATGAGAAATGACAATGAGAAATGACAATGAGAAATGACAATGAGAAATGACAATGAGAAATGACAATGAGAAGGCGTTCGCCGCCGTGCAAATGTCCTTATTATCGTCACGCTCCAAGGTAAATAATGTCACCACTCGATCAAGAGTTTTCAAATGTACTTTTGAATAGATTTTTGACAGCCAGGGGACAGATTCTTGAACAGAATCCAAATTAAACAAACTTGTGAGAACACCGACTTCAATATCTTCTTTGTTCCTCCAATCAAAGTAGCCAAGGAAACTAAACGTGTGTCCATATTAAAAGCTCAACAAATGGTATGCTGGTATCTACTACTGTGTGTGTTTAGAGATCAATACCGCTTTATGAGCAAACAGGTGTGTCAAGTCAAATGAGCAAATGACATGGCAAATCATATTACAGCACCTCTGTGGCTTATTTAGTCCGGCGACTTCATTAGATATCCGCTTACATTGATACTCATTTTCCACACGCACCACAAACAAATCCATCATTGGCGAGTCACAGAGTGAGCAAACTTAATTATTGGATTGATGAATCAGAACGAATAATGTTATTCATGCGGCATTGATTTATTTGGTGATGAAGTGAGTCCTTGAAGGAATTGTGGTGAAGTAAAGTCAACTGCAACCGGCAGTCCTACTTTGACTCAATCTAAACTAGCCTGTGACCCGAACAAGA